TTCATTCATTCATTCATTCATTCATTCATTCATTTATTCATTCATTCAATCATTCATTTATTCATTCATTTATTCATTCATTTATTCATTCATTCATTCATTCATCATTCATTCATTCATTCAATCAATCTGTCTATTTTCAGAACATATAGTATGTGAAGATGAATTTAAGTTTGCACTATTAGCCAATAATTGCCTGTATCCAGGGTTATCTACCTTGGTATCATTACTGGTTCATACATCAGACGGACAGTAAGTCTCCTTTCAGCTTTAAACTGTTAGCTCTTTCACTATGAAATACTTTGAAATCACGCGGAGCTCCATATCTGTTGTAAAAAGGTTTTCAAATTTTTTTATGTGTATCAGGGACACTGATAGCATCAATTTACATCATTCCAATTTTCAATCAGACATCTGTGGTTCCTGCAATTCCACTAAAACTAAGTGTTTGATGACGTCACTAATCACAAAGGACCTTAGATAATATTAACAGCTTTTGCGATGGCGTGTGTTTAACTTTGGTCTTGAACGATCAAATTCAATTTACAACTGGACTGTGTCTCTCATGGAATTGAAGGATACAGTTTTTATAAATTGTTTTGTAGAGAGGCAGAACTGGCCAATGAACAATGGCAGCAACTTTACGGTCGTCACTCTGGCAATGAGATCTACCACATTCAACTGGCCAAAAGCTCCTTCTTCAGTCGATACGAAGGCAAGAAATTCACTGAAGCATCTGCAGATGCTCATCAGAGGTTAGTATCTAAAAATAGAAGAAACAACCAGTTATACTGGGTTCACGAGGATCCTTTCTACCAGCTGGTCCTTGGTCAAACCTCTTGGTATTGATCTTTCCTGGATTATCTGTACCCATTTACAGCTGGGTTGACTGGAATAATGAGGATCCTTTCTACCAGCTGGTCCTTGACTAAACCTCTTGGTATTGATCTTTCGTGGATTATCTGTACCCATTTACAGCTGGGTTGACTGGAATAATGAGGATCCTTTCTACCAGCTGGTACTTGATCAAACCTCTTGGTATTGATCTTTCCTGGATTATCTGTACCCATTTACAGCTGGGTTGACTGTTATAATGAGGATCCTTTCTACCAGCTGGTCCTTGGTCAAACCTCTTGGTATTGATCTTTCCTGGATTATCTGTACCCATTTACAGCTGGGTTGACTGGAATAATAAGGATCCTTTCTACCAGCTGGTCCTTGGCCAAACCTCTTGGTATTGATCTTTCCTAGATTATCTGTACCAATTTACAGCTGGGTCAACTTATTCAAGACCTTTCTCATGTCGATGTAGATTAGAACCCACCACCACCATTAGACCTAAGTAACAACTCAAAGGATGTTATATAATTTCAGATTTGGTGTAGCATTGCTAGCCATCTTAGATACCCAGACCTCTGAACCACGCCTACAGCTGAATCCTGGGCCCACCTACACTATGAAACCCACTGATTACTGTTTTTATATGTCAGTTACTAAAGAAGAATACTCTCAGATCAGTCCTGAAGCTCTTCGAGATGATGTTGACAAATCAGCCAAACAATCCAAAACTTTAGGTAAGCGACTAACTTATTATGATGGGTATCTA